AAAACGTAAATTATTCAACATGCTCTTCGTGACGTTTATACAGGTAACAATGCTGGTGTTGGGCAGCAGTCTAGCTGTTCCCGTTGACAAGGATTCAGAAAAATTGCAGAACGCTTTAGAGGTGAAAAAACATGAGAAAAGAAGTGTAGATTGCTCGAATGGACACGGTATACACATATATTGTCCACCGGATTACCAAGCTCCAATCGAGCCGTCACCCGTCTTAGTTCAACAGCCAGTCGGTGAGTTATGATATAAAATTTCATTGATCTTGAATGTATTTCAAAGTTACAGCATATTGATATAATTAATTTAATTCCATAATAATATTTAAATTAGTTTAATTAGAAAGAAATTTCGTTCATAAATTGTCGCCTTTCTTTTAAGTTTTATGTGGTGAAAGAAAGATGTGATTTTACTTACCAGCTTTTGATTTATTTATTATGTAAAATTAAAACCTAAATAAATTTAAACCTAATGCCGCAATTAATGTTTACATATTAATGGATAGTAGGGATACATCTGTGAATAATGTCTTTGTACTCTTCTTTAGTGCATGTGCCTGTGCCTGTTCCGCAACCGGTGCCACATCCGGTTCCAGTACCCATAGTAGTACCGGTCACTAAGCACGTTCCCTTACCGATTCATGTCGAACGCAAGGTGGAGGTACCAGTGCTTAAACCATATCCCGTCACCGTGGAGAAGATCGTCCATGTGGACCGACCAATCCCGGTGACAATCGAGAAGCATCTGCACGTCCCAGTCGATCGACCGGTGCCGGTGCCGGTACCGGTACCGCAACCGTTTCCCGTCCCCTTCGAGAAGGTCGTGCACGTACACCGACCGTATCCGGTGGCAGTGCCAAAGCCGTACGCAGTACCGGTCTCCATATCCAAACATAAGTTATTCAATTGTTGTTAACACACTCGTCGAGCTCCATTTTAAAATGCGATACGATATTTTTACTAATGTCGTAATTTAATGTGTCAGTATAATTCTGTCAGTATAATATAGTAATATAAGCGTAGCTATCTTGTTTTTATTATAGATTTATTATTAATAATTATTCGTTAATTATTATAGTTAATTTTGCCTGACTGAAATGTATCTCAAAAACTGATTACTGCGTGAGTTTTTAATTCTGTTTCTGTTTAATAAACAACATTTCGTTAAAAAATTTACTTCTCAGATATTTGTATCCTTGCTAAGATTCTTCCATCTTTTCGTACCTAATCGCTACAAATTTTACGTAAAAATCAAAAAGTAAAATAAATATTCTTCTAAAATCTGTGTTTCTGTAGTCAAATAAATATTTTTCCAAAATTTATGTTTCTGAGCAACCTTGAGAACAATGCTATTACCATGTGCGAATGGCGCGAACTTGTTCTATTAGTAAGTCTCTTTATCATAATTAATGCAGTAATAATATTGCGCACTGAACATAGTTACAAGGTGAAAACAAT